AAAAATATAAAAAAGATAAAAAATGTATATTGTATACTGTTTTTTTTTTTGCTGTTTTTTTTTCTTAGGTAGTGGGCTGACGGGGGTGTGGGGAACTTTCCATGTTTGCACCTTAGTTCCTTCCTGCCATGATGGTTCCATTATTTATTCCTGGTAATTGGGTTAATCCCTTTTTGTGTTGACTTCCTTTTTTGTCATTATTAGTTGCTTGATGCTTCACCCTGATACCACTTATCCTACTAATGTGCTGATACGACTGATGTGCTGACATGACATGTGCAAATGATGAAAATCATTCTTCATGCTAATGCTTTCTGTGCAGTCATGAATGGACTGCTATGTTTGACCACATTATTGTCAGCCTGGACCCAATTGGCTTATAATTGGCAGCTGACAGTGGTCAGTTATTGCGTCTGGTGCCGGTGAACTATTGTGCCTGGCCTCCATAAGGTCATTTTAATCAGTTTTAACCTTCACAATTGTGTGTGTGAGCACCTGGCGCTTGTGAGCTCCATGTGCCTGGCCTGGCAGAAAGGCTGTTTTACCCAGTTTTAACCTCTGTATGATTGTGTGTGTGAGCACTAGGTGCCTTGGAGCTCCTTGTGCTTGACCTGGCAAAAAGGTCATTTTACTGTTTTAATCTGTATGAAGTGTGTGTGAGCACTGGGTGCATGCTGCCCAAGTGCTTGACCTGGCAGATGGGTCATTTTACCATGTTTTAACTTGTGTTCTGTGTGAGTGGGCACTATTCCTTGCTTACTGGCACCTTGATGCGTTATCTGACTATGGTGTTCTGTTTGGGCTGTGTGTTCAACTTGCTTCTCTTAATTGGATAGGTTCACATCAAACCTAATGATAAAATTAAAATCCATGTTCTGGGTTGCCTACAATCATGCAATATTTACCTATTGCAAATTACATATAATAAGCTTGAAAGCAAGTCACACAGCCATTGTTTACTTTCTTCAACATTCATAATCTCATTTTTCGTTTTGTGTTCTGTATCCTCGAATTATTTTCTTATAAACTTCTACATTCATAGCCACTATGCTCTCATCCTGCACCCCCCCCCTCCCCACATCCCTGTCGGCCCGCCCTTAGATCTGATACATAGATTGCAATAACTATGTAAGTTGTGACACGCATTGTGACATGTCACTCCCACAGACACGCGTGGGCAGCAGCCTTTGACTGGCTATGATCGCGAACAAAAGTGGCGCCTTTGCCCTTTGTTTCTGGACTCGCTGCCGTGGCTGGTTTCGGTCGCGGTGGCTTGAGTCCGGACTGGCCCGTCCTCCGTCCTCCGACCCTAATAGGCATCTGACCTGCCTCAGCGCCATCTACCTGAAACTCCCTAGATGTCGCTGTCCTCTCGGCCTCGCGGATTGTCTCCCATTCGTGTGGAATCCTGTTGAGGCCTGTGTGTAACCGGCGTTAATGACTGCATACTTGCCTACGCCCACTACTTACCTTGGTTTGCATTTATCTATACTGAGGAGTGCTAAACGCCTTCTGGTGTTACTTGGTAACATGGTTAGCTCCCTTCATGGAAATTATTTCATGTCACCAGCTTACTATGTACTGCACATACCACTTCGTAATATGTGCTAGCTTACATGCATCAACGTTTTGATATATGTATCAAATGTGTCCTGGTAATTATATCAGGCATTGTTTGGTAAATTTGTTATAGCTTATTTTAGTTACACCCAATCCCTAAACACCTGATAGGGTTTCCTTCCAGTACCTTTCATCACCTTTTACTCAACCTTCTTTGCATAATACTATATGCAAGCGCAACCACATGAAACCCTTCCACCTCTCCTTAATAACAAAATATTTAACCCGTTTCAAAGTGTTGGCCCTACGAACCTTTCCTTTTTACATGAGCAATACGAACACCTGAAACGTAACTGCAAATATTATACTCCTTTTCAACCGGAACTGTTTTCCCATGAGCATAGTGATGGGCTTTCTATTATACACATCAATGTTAGATCCATTCTCACCAATGAAAAGTTTGATGATTTTCAAACTTTCATTTACTCAACCTGCAAACACTGGAGTGTTATTTGCTTAACAGAAACCTGGCTAGATCCTTTCACAGAGCAGTACAGGCATCTCCCAGGCTATACTTCAATTTTTAGTAGTCGTCCTAATAAAACAGGTGGAGGTGTTGCGATGTATATATGCAATAAGTGCATAAGCTCAACATCGCCTCTAAAAATCAATAAGGTTGATGGGACAGAATCTTTATTTGTTGAAAGTACTGTACAATCCAAACAAATTGTACTTGGTGTTGTCTACAGGCCCCCACGTCTCTGTTCTTCCCAGTTTATTGACCAAATGACTGAGGTACTTGAACACACAAGTATATGTCATAAGGATGTTATTATCACCGGTGACTTTAACTTTGACCTTTTCCAAGTTGCAACAGATAGCTCTGTTGAAAACTTTCTGCACATGTTTACCACGAATGGTTTCTTTCCATGTATTTTTAGACCTACACGACTTGGTGTCGACAGTGCATCACTGCTTGACAATATATTCTCTAATAACCTTTCAATCTTGAATGACCCAGGTCTTATTTTAAGTGACTTATCAGACCATTTCCCAGTGTTTGTCGATCTTACTCTCAGAACAGACAATTCTCATAAACATATGAGGCAAACCATCACTTCTTTTAACTATAACATGATTCCTCACTTGCAAACTCGTTTGCAGTTGAAACTAAGAGACTTCTGTAATGAAACTGATGCGGAACACGCATGTACAACATTCATAGAAGCCTACACTTCCGAGATATCTAGGTGCAGCCACACCTATACTCCCACTCGGAAAAAGACACCTATTAAACCATGGATTACCCCTGGCTTATTGGTTTCCATTAACAGAAAAAACGAGCTTTTTCGTATAAAGAATAGACACCCGTCTCCCTTCAATATCAACAACTACAAACGTTATAAGAATTTGTTCACTCATATACTGAGGAAAGCCAAACAAACTTACTATCAGAATGCACTAAAAGATTGTGGCCCGAGGGAAACCTGGCGGCTACTGAACGAGATAACGAAAGGAAACATAATTAAACAAGAAAGTCCACCTTCTTTTAAGATTGGTGATGATGTTGAAAATGACCCAAAAATAATCGCCGAATCTTTTAACTCATACTTTGCTAGTGTTGGCAATGACTTAAAAGAGCGGATACCTCCTTGTTCCACCGACCCTATTGAAAATCTTCCTAGAGGACTAGGAAACTCACTATCATCATTCACCGAAACTAATGATATTGAAGTTACTGAGATAGTAAATAGCACCAAAAAAGTTGGTGGTGGAATAGACGGCATTAATGCACGTATTTTTAAAGCAACTTACCAGACTGTCCTAAGAGAGCTTGTCTTTCTCTTGAATTTATGCTTACGCCAAAACGTGTTCCCTCGCCCTTTGAAAACGGCGGTTATAAAACCAATTTTTAACCCGCGAGTTGCTGGGGGGGGCGTTAAACGCCCCCACTTTTTTCGCCGGGCCATAGCATAAAAACGGCGCGCCGCAGGCGCGCCAAATTTTGGGTACCTGTAGGGAATTGATTGAAGGTTATTGTGACAAAGTTTCAAAAAAATCGGTCGGAAAATTTTTGAGATATCGAGGTTTTAGTGACGTCATGATTTCTGAGTTTTCGACCAAAAACGGCATATGTTCAAAAAATCATATAAAATCACAGAATAGACATACAGACATACCGTAAACGCCATTAGACTGCCAATACCATGGTCAATCAAATGGCTATCTTCGATTATTAATTATCATTCCGCATTTTCCATAATCTTGAACTGAATCTTGGCAATTTTTCGTGACTACTTCACGACCATGATACATGAATTTCTTAAATTGAACTTTTTGAGCCAAACACGTACACATATGATAAAATGAATGTCACCATCGTGTTTTACGCCCCAAATTTACCTATAAAACATGTGTCTCAGGCTGCGAATATCAGTTTTGATTTTCGGGGATATGTGCCTACCCGGTTGACCTGACCTTGACCCTGACCTATGCTTGACTGACCCCTACATGAAGCTAACACTCTTGTGTAGGCCTTATAAGATGGATTGTGCACCGTTTTGACAGAGTTTATGGCGAGAGGCGCCCATTGCGAGGTCCTGAAGTCCATGCTACTGAAAGCCCGATTTCAGGTGTTTGACCTGACCTTGACCCGACCTGTGACCTCAAAATTCAACTTTAAAGTACTCATCTGAAGCGTCTCGTCGCGCTCTTTCGTTTGCCGCCTCATGCGTTTCGCTGCGCCTATTGGTTCTCGAGTTATCGGCTGGGGGCGTTTAACGCCCCCCCCCCCCCCCAGCAAACGGTGGGTGGCGAAATACCCCAGCAACTGCCGGGTTAAAGCAGGGAATAAGCAACGTTTTACAAACTATAGACCAATAAGCATACTGCCTTTTATATCGAAAATACTAGAAAAACTAGTACATACCCGACTTGAGCATTTCTTTGAACATAACAAAATCATCACCGAATTTCAGTTTGGTTTTAGAAAAAGCATGAGCACTTACTGTTCTATCGCCACCCCTTCGTTTCAGTGGCGGCCTCGGTCGTCCGCTCGCGAACCCGGTGCGACACTAGGGACTCAACGGGCAGTCTGTATTCTATCAACGCGTGGTCGTACGCGCACACCTGCTTCCGCGGCCGGCGGCCGGCGACTGCCTCTCAAGGCCAGCTGGCTGATCGGCGGCGGCTGGCCGCCGCAAGGGCGCGCTCAGCTCCGCTTCCGGGGGGGGGGGAGGGCCGGTATCACGACACCACACCTCACCCCCCGTCACTAGATCACAGACACCGATCTAACCGCCAAAGATATGAAACATAAACACAATGAACGCGTGATCTCCGGCGATCTCCAGTCTAACAGGACAGGACAGAAAGACGCGAATCGAACAAAGACGCGAATCGAACAATCGAGAATCGAATCGAATCGAATCGAACACACGCTATAGTTCTTCAATGTAGCGCCTCGGAGGAGCCGCTCGGCGCGTCGAGTGACGCGGCACAGTTAACTCAGCGTGGCGATCCGCTCGACCCGCTGGTCCCGCCGTCACTCCAGGCCGCGCCGCGGCCGACTCGTTCAGCGCCGCGCGCTCTGCTGTCGTCCCATCTCGGGTCGGTCCGCGGCTGGGCTCCTCTGCCGCCGTTCCGTCCCGGGACCCACCGGCGCTGTCCGCTGCGGGCGCGGCACCGGTCCAGTGTGCCGCCCCGGCGCCGGCTGACCTCCCGGCTGCGGCGCCGTCCGTGCCCGCTGCAGCTCTGGCCTCAGGTGAGTCCGACGCTGCGGCTCCCGCCGGCCTTTCGGCTGCTGTGCCGGAAGGCCGCTCCGCTCCAGCGCCGATCACGCGAGCCCGCTCCGGCTGAGAAGCACCGTTGCTCCGGCTGATCGCGCCGCTGCTGCTGACGCCGCTGCCCTCCCCTCCGTCTCGACCGACGGAGGGCGGCCAGTAGCGATCGGACGCGAGTGCTGCCGCGTCCGCTCTGCCGCGGTCCTCGGCAGGCGCCGTGCTGTCAGCGGCGGCCGACAACAGCTGATCACAGTGCCGTGACCACGACCCGCCTCTACCGACGTCGACTTCGTAGGAAACGGGCCCAGTGCGTGTGACGATCCGACCGCGCACCCACTTCTGTGGCCCGGAGTAGCAGCGAACCCAGACGTCGGCGCCGACCGCAAACGCTCTGGCGCGTCCGCCGGCTGCCGTCTGCTGTCGCTCCGCGCTGTCCCGCAGCGCGTCCTCGGCGGTCGGAACGAGCAGATTCAGCCGCGTGCGGATGTTGCGGCCCAACAGCACCTCCGCTGGGGTCCGTCCCGTGCTGGCATGCGGTGTGGCCCTGTACGCCATCAGAACTCGGGCGAGCGCCAGTTCCATGCCTCCGCTGTCGTCTGCTGCCAGAGTCGCCTTCAGTGAGTTTTTTAGCGAGCCGACCGCTCGCTCCGCCATCCCATTAGACGATGGGTGATGGGGCGCCACTCTGACATGTCGGATCCCGTTAGAGCTGGCGAACTGGGCGAATTCCTGGCTCGTGAACTGTGGGCCATTGTCCGTTACCAGCACCAGCGGTAGTCCGAGACGAGCAAAAACCGTCCTCATCACCGCTACGGTCCGCTCGGACGTGGTCGTCTTCATTGGGATCATTTCAGCCCACTTGGAGAAACTATCCACCATCACCAGGAACCAGGTGCCCTTCAGAGGTCCGGCAAAATCGGCATGCACCCGCTGCCAGGGTCCCTGAGCGGGTTCCCAGGGGTGCCGCTCCGCGTGCGGCGGCGCCGCTCGCTTCGACTCGCAGGCTGGACAGCCCCGAGCGAGCGCCTCCAGTTCAGCGTCCAGCCCCGGCCACCAGACAAACCGACGAGCAAGTTGCTTCATCTTCGTGCAGCCGCTGTGTCCCTCGTGTAGCTGCTGCTTCACACGATCTTGCAAAGCCCTCGGCACCACCACACGGCCGCCCCAGAGCACGCAGTCTGCGTCCGTCGACAGCTCGTCCGCTCGATGCTTGTACGGCGTCAGCTCGGCGTCCATCATCCCCGGCCAGCCGGACCGCACCGCAGCCAGTACGCGACCCAGCACCGGATCCGTGCGCGTGGCCGCTGCGATAGCCCTGGCCGAGAGGCATGGTCCCTGCTCCTGCACGACGAACATGACGCCTCCTCCGCCGTACTCAGCCTCTTCCTCCGCCGCCTCCCGCTCCTCCGCCGGACTGCTCACCGGCAGACGGGACAGCGTGTCCGCCGCTCTCATGTTTCCGGAGCGCCGCAGCTCCACGTCATACTGATACGCCGCCAGTTGAAGCGCGTACCGCTGCATACGAGCTGCCGCGAGGGTGGGCAGATCCCTGTCCGGGCTGACGATCCGCGACAGCGTGCGGTTGTCCACTACCAGGGTGAACCGCCTGCCCATCAGGTACTGGTGGAAGCGCCGTATTCCGAATGACACGGCCGCAGCTTCCTTCTCTACCTGCGCGTACTTCCGCTCAGTCTGCGTTAGAGTACGAGACGCGTACTGTACCGGCTTCTCCATTCCATCAGCCGTCACCTGCATCAGTACCGCGCCGAGTCCCGTCTCACTGGCGTCCGTCACCAGCCGCACCGGTCGGTCAGGATCGAACCGCACCAGCACTGGGGCTGATGACAGCATTGTCTTCACCTTCTTCACTGCCGCCGCGCACTGCTCCGTCCACTGCCACTTCACTCCTTTCTTTAGCAGCGCATACAGAGGTGTCAGTACGGTAGCCAGTCCCGGCAGGATCCGCTGATAGTAGCTCACCGTGCCGATCAGCGACTTCAGCGCCTGCTGGTTCACCGGGTCTGGCGCCTGCAGGATCGACTCCGTCTTCCCTGCCAGCGGACGGAGCGCGTCCGCCGACAGACGCCACCCGAGGTAGGTCACCTCCGGCACATTGAAGCTGCACTTCTCTCGCCTCAGGCGGATGCCGTTCTCCTCCATCCTAGTCAGGGTCGCGTCCAGCCGTTCCAGCAGCTCCTCCTCCGTGTCAGCCCACACCAGCACATCGTCCATGTAGCTGACAGTGCCGGGCAGTCCCGCCGTGATCTGATCCATCACGGACTGGTACAGTGCCCCACAGACAGAGATGCCATACGGCAGTCTGTTCATCCTGTAATCACCTCTGTGTGTCGTCACCGTGGTCGCATTCTTGCTGTTCTCGTCCAATTCCACCTGCAGATAGGCGCTCCTGCAGTCCAGCTTTGCAAACCGTTTCCCCCGGACGCCGGAGAACAGCTCATCGGCCGTCCGCATCGGGTACTTGGTCTGCTCCAGCTGAGGGTTGACAGTCAGCCTGTAGTCTGCGCAGATGCGGACGCCATTCTGCGTCGGGATGACCACCAGCGGTGTCCCCCAGCCGCTCCCTGGTGGCACCTTCTCTGCCACGCCCTGCTCCTCCCACCGGTCCAGTTCGCGGTCCACCGCCTCCTGCAGGGCGAACGGCACCGGACGCGCCCGTCGGTACACCGGCTTGGCGTCTGACTTCAGCCGCAGTCCCACCTTGATCGGGATGCGTCCCAGCTCCTCGTTGAAGACCGCCGAGTGCCTCTCCAGCACGCCTTCGAGCGTCCGCGCCGGCTGCACGCGGCATACCCGAGCCGGTGACGTCATTAGATCAAGCGCCTGCAGCCACTCGCGTCCCATCAGCGGGCGGTGGGGTCCAAAACCGGTCACCACCAGCCGCAGACGGGTCGCGGATCTGTCCGACACCGTGACACTAACCAGCGCCTCCCCTCTCAAGGGAATGACCTGACCTGTGAACGAGGTCAGGCGCAGGTCACATGGGTCCAGCAGCTGCAGAAGTCCCAGCTGCCGCGCTGTCTCCGCGCTCACCAGCGACACCGGGCTCCCCGTGTCCACGACCATGGCCAGCTGCTGGCCGTTCACCGTCACCGTCTTCATTTCCGGCTCCGCGGCGCTGGCTTCGACTGTGTTCACCAGCCACGCGTCGCCGTCGCCGTCCGTCTGCTCCTCCTCCGCAGCCACCAGCCGCACCCGCCGCTGCGGACATGCCGCCTTCAGGTGCCCGGTGGAGCCACACTTAAAGCACCGCCGCTGCCTGACCGGGCCGTCACTGCTCGTCCTGTCCGGCGCGCCAGCCTGACCTCGTGCGCCGGTCGTTCCCACGCGCCCGCCGCTGACCGCTTGGCCAGCTGGACGGTGGCTGTCGCGCGCACGGTGGCTGTCGCGTGCACGCGGCGCGGCTCCGGCCGCTGGACAGTCGCGCTGCCAATGTCCGGTCGACCCGCACCGGAAACAGGCGCCTGGGTGCCCAGCCGGCCGGCCGGTCTCCGGTCGCTGCGACAGCCGCAGCGCCTGAACTGTGTCCGCGGCCATCGCTGCCGGCGCTGGCACTCCCCCCAGCTGAGCCGTCAAATCCAGCACGTCCTGATGCGCGCGAGCCGTCTTCCTGATGTCCTGAAGGGTCAGGTCGGTTCCCTTCAGAGCTGCCTCCCGGACCAGCCTCCGCTGCAGCTCGCCACTGCTGCCCAGAACGCAGCGGTCTCGCAGCTGCTGGTCGATTTCCGCTGTCGTATATCCGCAACGCATCACCTGAGTGCGCAGCCTGCCCAGTAAACCCTCCAGGTTCTCATCAGCCTCCATTGTCATTTTCTCAAATTTTCCCCGCTCTGCCACAACATTTCTTACTGGAACCAGGTATCGAGTCAGTTTCCCTTTCAGACGGACGAACTCGTCGACCTGACCATCCTCCGTCTCGTCGGGCAGGGACTCACTTATGTCCGCTATATCTGGGCCAACCAGATGCAGCAACATTGCGCATTGTCGTGCCGTTCCTTGTACGTTGACAGCCACCATGTACCTAACGTTCCAGCCCTCGCAACCATTTTTCAAAATCGCTGCCCGGCTTGTACGGTGCCGCCGCCATCGGCTGCATTCCCAGCAGCTCCATCCCGCTGCCGGGCGCTGAACAGCTGATCGTCCGCCGCGGCCGCCGGACCAGGCCCAACGAACCGAGCCTGAGCGGTTACCGCGCGCTTCCCCGGCCAACCAGCGGACTCGTCGCAGCCAGCACCTCCGGACGGCTTACTTCCGCTCACCTGAGCCAATCAGCGGGCCCGACACGGCCAGCTGATCCGGTCGACCAATCAGAGACTTCAGTGTCAGCCGCTATCGCCAGGCTCACTTCTGCGCCGAATTCGCCGCACAAAATCGGGAGAAATAAAAATAACGGCCCTACTGGCGAGCGAAATGCAATGCAGGCAGAAACAAAAAGTACTAGCTACTACACTAAGCACTAAGCACTCCGTTACAAAACACTTCCCTCCGACTCCGTTAGCACGCCCCCGCGACGTACACAACGTTACAACATGGCCGCCGCCGACCCGCCCGGCGCCCATCAATCACCGTGACCGCCGGCATCCCCGTGCTTACACCACACGCCTCAGCTCCGTCACTGACTGTCCAGTTCGCTTGCCGGATCACCGCCACTCGTTTACCCGAGCGCTGCCGACTCACCGCGAACTCCGGCCCGTAGAACTCCCCGAGCCGCCGCCATTTTCCGGTCTTGAAATCCACACTTCGCTTCCAGCCTCCCATCTCATCCTTGTCGCCAAGTTTGTTCTATCGCCACCCCTTCGTTTCAGTGGCGGCCTCGGTCGTCCGCTCGCGAACCCGGTGCGACACTAGGGACTCAACGGGCAGTCTGTATTCTATCAACGCGTGGTCGTACGCGCACACCTGCTTCCGCGGCCGGCGGCCGGCGACTGCCTCTCAAGGCCAGCTGGCTGATCGGCGGCGGCTGGCCGCCGCAAGGGCGCGCTCAGCTCCGCTTCCGGGGGGGGGGGGAGGGCCGGTATCACGACACCACACTTACATGCCCCTTCTTTTGGTTCAAGAAAAGGTAAACCAAGCATTTGAAGCAGGCAAAGTTGTCTGCGGCTTATACCTTGACCTCCGAAAAGCATTTGACACTGTGAACCAAACCATTTTACTTAAGAAACTGTATGCTTACGGTATACGTGACAATGCACTTATGATGCTGAAATCATATTTAGAAGGCCGCACACAGTGTGTTGAGGTAGAGCATGTTCGCTCCAGCCTTGCTTCGGTTGATATCGGTGTTCCCCAGGGCTCCATCCTTGGGCCACTTCTGTTTTTAATTTACATCAATGACTTTCCCTCCATTTCTGATGATATAACTGCATATCTGTATGCAGATGACACAGCCATTTTCATTGAAGGCAATGATGAAGCCCATTTGCAAAGAGTCATCGACGCCACAATGCCCAAGATAGCTGTTTGGTTTCAAGCAAACCAATTATCTTTAAATACAGACAAAACTTTTTGTCAGCTCTACAATAATTCTAAACGCGCTGTCAATGTGTCTGTTTTTCTCTCTGGTGCACATATTAAATTTGTTAAAACAGTTAAGTACTTGGGCATGTACGTAGATGACGATCTGAAATGGAAATCACACATTTCACACCTTTCTACAACGCTGACTCGTAACGTTGGACTCATAAGCAGAGCTAGGTATACATTGGTACCTAAACAGCTGCTTCTTTTATATAACGCACTTTTCCTTCCGTATATCAACTACTGCTGTATGCTTTACAGCAACACTTATATTACAAACGTAGATAAGCTCGAGAAATTACAAAAGCGTGTGGTCAGAATGATTGATGGCGAACATAGACTCGCACACACAGCACCAATTTTTAAGAAACTGAAAATACTTAAGTTGAGAGACATTGGTAAGCAGCAGATGCTTCTGCTAATGCATAGAAAGTTGAAAGGAACTTTGCCTTCATCTATTGACAGACTTTTTACGATACTCGAACCGCTTCGAGATACTCGCTCAACCCATCATTTCCACGAGTTCTTCTCAGAAAAAAACTATCGCAGCTACACTACTAGGTGGTCTGCACCTAGAATGTGGAACTCAATAATTGGTCCTAAGTTCACAGATATGGAAGCAGTTCCACTAACAAAGAGAGAAATCAAGGATTTCTCAAAGCAGTTTTTTATCGATCAATACTGATACCATTGCCAACACTGACATTATTGTTCTTGTGTTCCACTTGCGTTCGTAAACATACGAATACCTGCCAATGAAATGATCCCCCATTTTATTTATTGTGGGTATGTACGTACATTTACCTGATAATGTATTTTTTACCCGCTCTCTCACAGGTACATACTTGCACAGTACATAGTTATGTGTACACAATTACATAATTTGTCTATAATAAATGCATATCACTTATGCATACCTAACTTTGGAACATTGTACATCTCTGTAACTGGGTAGGTATGTTCTAACTGGGTACCTAGATCGCCACAAGAGGTGGTGGTATTTAGTGGTCTTATGTCTTTTCCCTGTTTGTCTTTTACTTCTTCTCGAACTTTTATCCCACATTTTTGTTTTGCCCTTTTCTTTTTGTTAAGCTTTGCTTTTTCTCCCTATAAACATCATACAGTACGTACAGTACTAACTGTATGTCTTTGAATCATCGCCATCGCTCAATGACCTAGCTTTCTTGCTATTTACATTACTTGCTATTTGTATACCGGTCGTCTCGTCTTGTTTTGTGTACTTACAAGTCACACTTAAGTTCTCCTGGATACGTAACAATACGTAAATCAGCCCTACGATACTTCCCACCGACCTGGGTTTACCGAGCAACAAGCTTGCTTAGCTCGGTATCCCTTTTCGGTGAGGATCTGACTCCTCCGAGTGTGACTAGGCTCTGTCCCTCTTCTATAATGCAAGCTTTGCATGCGCTTATTACCACTAACCTCTGGATCACTCTCTCCTCACTATCTTCTTTGGGAATGGTGTAGCGGCCAGTCAAGCTACATTTAGTCTTGACTTCTTTGCCTCTTCTTATGACATTTTACTAACTTACTAAGTATTGTATTTAGCTTTGTTTTTGTTTGCTTTCCTTTTTCTTAGCAGGGAGTGTCGCGACTTTCTTCATATTTTTGTCTTGGGAGGTGTTAACGTAAGGTGCTGTTGTCGCGTGGGTCAGTGGGTGGACACTCCTGGTCGTCTGATCATGGGCGGCGGCTTAGAAAAAAAATAAAAAAAGGTCAGAGGCCAGTTTTACCAAAAAATACCAGCCGGCCGCCGAAATAAAATATCCAGCCGAAAAAATAGACGCCACACAGCCACGAGTTTCACCAACAAAAAATTCCAGCCGACTTCGGACGGAAATTATTTGTCGCCGGTAGTCAGCTGATATTCTGTTACGATATCAAATTACGATATGTCAAGGAGATTAAAAAATCATTTAAAGCATGTTTTCAATCAAATTGAAGCGTGATTTCTGATGCAAATGCTATATACATTTCGAAATATTATAATCGTAAATTATTACATTATTTTCAAGAGTAATAACAACAAAGTAGAGCATTATAAACTTTCATATCTATATTAACATTCTGGTGCCCAGCAAGAGCCAATACAATACAAAACTACCAAATTGTAAACATAGGCACGTCATTCATAAAGGTGACGTAAGGAAGCTTCCATTTAAGGCAATTTTAAGATGAATATTTTTTCCTGTCAGCCTATTATATTAATTTTTACAATACCTTCAACTTGTTATGTACCTTTTTGTCTGTTTTTTAGTCGCACCTTGTAGAAAATCATCGTGTAGACCCAGAACGCAATGTGTGGACCTCCAGCTATGAGGTGGGGACTATGTACACCTTTTTACGCCCAATTTAGGCGGAAGTGCACACATTTCATTAATAGTGCAGGTGATTTCGATGGTTCGGCATAGTGCCTTCATATATTGAATTGCGGCACGATATTCGTCATTGTGCACCCCACTCCGTCATAGTGCAGTTAAAAGTGGACCAGGTTCAGACATATTGGACTTAGTGCAAATAATAATTCGTCAGTTTAATTCAATTTCGACATACGGCATGTGCTTACGGCAACGTTCAAATAAATCCAGCACGGTATAAATAAGCGATTATGTAAACAAATCTCACCTTCCTACGCAACTTAAGCCCTCAGCAAAGCTCTGGAGCTAATGAAGAATGTGGGATGTCACGTGAACGTGAAATGCGCTACACCTTTTTACGGCCAAATATAGAAATAGTGCACACAGTTCAGTATAATAGTGCAACCGATTTCGACAGTTCGGCATAGTGCACCTCTAGTTCGGCCAAGTGCATGATATTCGGTAATAGTGCACACGTTTCAAATGAAGAGCAATCAATTTAGAAGATGGTGCGTTCAAATTCAATGAGCCGTAGGTTCAATTTCGTCATAGTGCACGGTTTCGTCATGTGGCCTGATAGTCGGCGTCCAGCAAAGCGATTTAGGCGATGATCAAGTGAATTCGCTGCTGGATTGGGAAAATATTTTTGAAAGCCCCTATCTGCCTGTCAAGAGTAGCGTGAATCTTGGTCAAAAACCTGCTCAAACATGGGTGGAGAACCTGCCCCGGCCACCCCGGCCGTGGCCGGGGTAACTTTCAGCCTACCCCGGCGCGGCCGGGGTAACTTTTCTACTCTTGTAAATCCTAAAAGCTGTCTCCATACGAGAAAAGAAAACTCACGCTCTTCGAATGTTGACTTCCATGGGCGTAATATTGCAAATCAGGTAGGTATTTACCATTTACTTAACTTGCCAT